TTAGAGGGACATTACCTATAAAAATGACAGACAACAAGCAACATGTGAATCTATAAAGTTGTATCTGTTTTGGAAAAATAAAACAATTAGTTGTAACAACATTAAAAATTTTAAATAAACAATTAAAATTTGCAACAAAATTATTTGTCATACATATAATAGCCACAAAACAAAGTTGAAAACGACCATAATATCAATTTTTATGTTGGTGGAACTATAAGGGTTTGTCATTCCAAAGTTGTGTAGGTAAACAGATAAGTTGATAAAGTTTTCTTCTTCATCGCTGTATGAGAAAATCATATTTAAAAAGTTATAAAACAAGATGATTACGAATTTTGATTGTAAGTAAAAAAAAAATGAAATACACATGTTATATAGTGAATAAAAATCTAGTAATTTTTTCCTGAATGTTTGTCCAGAATGTATGTTTGGGGTAAGATATACAGTCCGGACTTTCTGTCTTATATGTATGGTTTTGATTAGGGTGGTTTGGAATTGACTATTTCAATCCGGAATGTACAACCACAGGTTTCGAAATGGAATCAATATCTACCATGTCAATCCGAAATGAATAGTAAATTCTCCGGAATGCATATTTCAAAAAAGATAGTAATTATTCCACATATTAAAAAAAATTGATTATTTTTAAATTAAGTTAGTCATTTATAATTGTTAGTTTAATCAATTTCTCTTTATTTTAATACATCATGGTTAATTTTAGTTTTGTACAATTTTGGCTTTATAAAAGAAAGGTTATTTTGTGTATGAGGTATCAACTGGTGTGCTATCTATACAATTTGGACTTTTGATAAGTAGAAGACGAATGTGGTTTTCATGGGATGCCACGTAGATGGTTGTGTCCTTATTGCTCAGAACAATTCTGCAGACTAGATGATCACGACATAATCCATACGCAGTCGTCTATCTTTTTATCTTGTTAAGAAAAATAAATATCTTATCTCAATTTAGAATTAACTTTCGAGTGAATGACAAGTTCGTCATTTTGCTTTCTTTTTCTTTTTCTTTTTCTTTTTCTTTTTTCTTTTTATTTGGTTCTGGTTGCTTTTATTTATTATTTATTATTATTATTATTATTTTTTAAATATTCCAATTGTTTTATTTGTCTTGCAATTAGTTTCTAGAACGTTAAATTTGAAAAAAATAACTAGATTATTTTTATTATTTAGAAATATGAAATGTATCCATTTTTCTTAATTATAAACTAAAAATAACTTTTCCAATGCAATCACTTATTTTGTAATATCTAGTGGCGAAAATTTATATACACTAACAAAAGATAAAATATATAGTTCTCAATATACAAGTTCAAAAAATTCCGGTCTACGAAATTTTTTGATGTTTGAGAAGAGATTTTCTTAAAGAAAGTCCGAGAGGTCATTGGTGACAAGTATCAAGTATGTTTTCATTTTTCATTTCGCGATATACCGATGAACGTTTTGAACTTGGGGTGATGGCCGAAGAACATTGACATATTAAGTAATTTTTCTTCTTAAATTCCATTTTTTACCACAAGTTGTTCCTTAGTCCCAGAATTGATTCCCAGAGCAAAAATCGATTCGTTTTTCTTAGAGGGTGTTTCTTTTATCTTTTAAAGTGAATTTTCATATTTATCTTTTCCTAAAAATTAAAAAGAAGATAAAAGATGTTTGATAAAATGAAAATGACTTTTATAATAAACTTTTTAAATAGAAGGAAATTGAATCTTTTGAAAAGTCACCTAGATGTGACTTTTGTAACTTTGCAACCACTTACAACTTAAATAACTTTTATATCCTAACTAAATGTCTTTTTTAGTCATTTACATGTAAAAATTAAACCAAATATTTTTTAAAAACAATTTTTGATTTTTTCCTCTAAAAAACTAATCCAAACATATTTTAAAAAACAACTTTTGTAAAAAATCCTTTTACAAAAATGACTTTTACCTCTCAAAAGGTAAGCCAAATAACCTCTTAGATTATGAAATAGTTCATCACATTGAGAAACCTTTATACGACTTTTTAAAAAAAAAATATTGTTTATAACTCACCATGCTTGTAAGAAAAATAATATAGATTATCATAAACCAAGTTGACATAGAACAGAAAAAGAACAATTTTATACTCCGAAACCCAGTTAATACCCGCTATTCTCCTATGTGTTTAAGATATACTAATATTTCAGCATCAATAACATTACTAAACTGTTTAGTAATGCAACAAACATGTAAATTAATGCTCAATCATAAGAACAATATCTAATCCATCCATGTCAATATCAAAATTGGGTGATTTTCATTCAGAGAAATGATTTCTCACTCCACTGCAATGGTTTTTTTTTTTTTTTTTTTTTTTTTTTTTTTTTTTTTTTTTTTATAATTATTTATTCCTTAATCATCTAATTATCGTAGATCTCCGTCAATTATATTAAGGAAAAATAAAATAATAACAACATACTTCAAATGTACCTTGTTAATGACATTGTATATCCACACTAAATCATCTTTAATTATACATTTCATACATTTGTATCTTATTATTGCTACAATTGCATTGATGATGATGATGATGATAATAATAATAATAATAATAATAATAATAATAATAATAATAATAATAATAATAACAACAACTAGTGGAAAGACCCGGGCTTCACCCCGGGATGTTTTTGTGTTTTTTTATGAAAAAATGTAAAAGTTTTGACTGTAAGAACCAAAAGTGTTAAAATGATTATGGAATTAAAGGGGTTGAAATTAGCAAGTTTTTAGAAAAGGGATTAAATTTGTCAATTCCTTAAAGTTCTGTGGTAAAACTTTGAATATTAAAAGTTTCCTAAAAATATAAAATTTGTGATTGAAATGACCAAAAATATCAAAATGGTTAAAAAGTGAGAGACAAAGTTGACAAAAAATATGCAAGTTTATTTTTCATAAGGGAACAAAATTTTAATATATATATATATATATATATATATATATATATATATATATATATATATATATATATATATATATATATATATATATGTATAATAATAATAATAATAATAATAATAATAATAATAATAATAATAATAATAATTAAACAATGGGTATTAAATTATAAAAAAATAAAAAATGCCAATATCATTCTATGGGTGTTATATATGTAAACCAAAAGAAGCTTAAAATAATCTAGATGCATAACAAACTTTATATTAGATGTCATATTGATGGTGATAATTGGTTTGTATAATTTGCGCTATGTTTAGGATGAATGAGACAACTTTCTAAGTTTTAATTTGGGTTGTGACTTGTGAGGTTTTGAAGGGTATCACTCGACCGAATGGGAATAGACATGTAAAGTAACGTAGTTGGCATTAGGGATTTCAAAGGGTCCAATCGGAACGGATGTAGCATCTTAATATTCTTATTTTGTTTGTTGTGAATTGTGATCATCGTATATTTGAAATTGCATGACCATGCAACATGGTGCGTTGCTTCACTAGTGGTTTTTAAACCCAGAATCCTTATAGAATGGATTGGAAAAAAAGGCGATGGCAACCAGAACACAAACATAAGAAAATAAAGAATTTTTTAAACCTCATGATAGAATGATTTATAAATCCTTCAAACTGTCTTATATTAAAATTCTTAGATTTAGAATTCCCTTTCCTTGAACCAAACAACGATTTAAATGATTTTAGTTTCAAATTCGCTAATTTACTTTATAAATTATGTTAATAAACAAACAAATAATTTAGTTGTTAATTAACTCGACATCATTTTATATCTATTTGGGTATATCTAGGTACTTACATATATGTAAGGACAAATTGCACACGAATATAACCAATATTTTAGTGATTTTTTATTTTTGGACATGCTAATAATACTTTAGTACAAAGAAACAGAACTTTATTTTTGTTTTTAAAAATCCAGTTATCAAATTAAAATTAAAAATGATATTATTAATATTTATCTTTTAACAGAGTTTTTTTTTTTTTTTTTTTTTTTTTTTTTTTTAAAAGGTTGCAACTCCATTATAATAAAATACAATCTGATTTAACTTGTTTTTATTGAAATTTGTCAACAATGTCTAATGTAGTAATAATTTGTGTGACAGGAAATTTGATTCTTCATTTGTCAAACTATGCGCACATATAAAGTCCATTAATTAATTCTGTTATCATGATTTATTTTTAAAATTTTAAAATTCTAGAAGTTTAAATCTTAAACCCCTCTTTTTCACCCTTTCACGCATTATTCCACACAAAGTATGAAAGTTAATGAATATGAAACACAAATAGAGGTAAATTATTTAGAACTTAAATTTAAAATTCACATTATTATTATTATTATTATTATTATTATTATTATTATTATTATTATTTTGATATTGCTTTTTGTTTTAGAATTTCAAAATTTAGAAACAATCAAACAAATGAACTCTAAATAATCGTGGTTAATTATATATTTTAGAGTAAATTACACGAATGGTCCCTATGGTTTAGGGTAATTTGCACGTTTGGTTCCTAACTTATTTTTTTAAGACAAAATTGCAAAAATGGTCCCTGTGTTTGTCAAAATTATGTGGTTTTGGTCCAAAAAAGTTTGATGGTGTATCAGTGGTCCAATTTTGGATAATCTGTGCGATTTTGGTCCTTATAGTTAGCATTTTCGTGTGACTTTGGTCTATACCCAACCTAAAATGACTAATATGCCCTTAAAATTATTATTTTTCTATTTGTTTTAATTGAATTCTAATTCCTTTAATTAAAAAAAAACAAAAAATATATATCAACCCACGAATCTCTCTCTCACACACAGAACTAAACATTTTAGATCAAACATTCACCCAAAAAAATCATCTGTGTTCTTCAATGTTCTTCAAGGTGTTCATCAGAAAAACAAAAAAAATTATCAACGATTTCCATTTTATGATAAACAAAAAACTCCTCGTTATCTTCAACAGTTAATCATCAGCAAACTTTTTAGATCACACAGCTCATATCTCAAATCGATGTACCCCTCTTTCTCTCACAATCACAGGTACTCTCCTTCCAGTTCTAGCTTCAATCGATAACAACCACAACCCTCCCTTCCTAATATTTTGTTCTGATTTGATTCTCACCCTACCTTCTTCGATTCAGATCACACGATCTTGGTGATGGTGTGTCTGGTGGTGTTGAATGGAATTCTGTGGTAAATCAAGAAGAGATTAAGGTTAGTCAACATGAGAGAAGAAGGTGAGGAGGGTTGATTTGTAGGGGTGGTGACAGGATGGTTGTCGGATCTCCATTGTTTCTCACCATTATTGAACCTCCATCATTGCCCACCATGGAGCTTTCAAACGACGGTATACGCAGAGCAGGAGCTTTAAAATGATGGTGGAGGCAGATCAGGAGCTTTAAAGCGACATAGAAGTTCAATCAAACAAAACAGAGCATCGAAAAACTAACTTAGAAGATGGATGAGATGGAGCCCCCTGTGGAGGAAGAGAAGCACGATCTGACGCAAGCCCTAATTTAAAAAAAAAAAAAAAACGGGTTCAGGGGGACTTGGAAGAATCTTCGATGGTTGATGATGTTAACGGAGAAGCTCCGAAGGTAGCTTTAAAGAGAGGAATTTTGGAGAAGCTCCACCATTATCAGACATTGGATGCCATGTTTCAATTAATGGTCATAAGATGTAGGAGAACGAGAACCTGTGGACAACAGTGTAGGGGTTGATGAAGCAAGGAACGAACAAGTGGGGGATACATGGGGTAAGTCGGTTGGTGATCGTATAGAACAAACAGTAACGACCTAAAATGCAGGTCCTAGCTCCAACGATAGCTTTGATGCATGGATGTGGATTTTGGGTGAGTGTGTGTTCTTGAGACTATATGTTTGTGGAGTAATGGACTCCGATCTAGTATCTGAAACCGCTTGCTTATAGTAAACTGCAAATGGGAGAAGGCCACTGAAACCCTAGAAGTATCGGGGTTTAATGGAACCAGGTGATGAAGGATGTTGGTTCCAGATAATGTTGTTAGTTCTGGATATCAGTGATGAGGATGAAACCGGGTGATGAAGGGCTTCTTTAAGATAAGAGTGGGGAACGGGTTATTGTTTTTATTATTTTTGTTTTAAGTTAAAAAGATATAAATTAAACTAGTTTATGTATTTTAACAATTAAAGAAAATGAAAAATATAAATTATAAGGGCATAACCGTCATTTTAAGTGTATAGGGACCAAAACCAATAGAAAAATCTAATTTTGGACCAGTGATGCACCAACATTTCGTTTTGGACCAAAATCACATAAATTTACCAACCACAAGGACCATTTTTGCAATTAACTCTTTTTTTAACTCGGAAGGTCCATATTGTTTGTTTTTGTTACACGCTTGGTCTCTGTCTTACCTAAAAAGACTATTTTGCCCCTGATTTTTTAATTTATTTAAATAAACACACTCTCAACCTGACTCCCCTCACCTTATCCTACCTATCCTATCATTTTTCCATATTCAAATAATAGTTTTTTTTAGGTAAGACAGGGACCAAGCGCGTAACAAAAACAAATAGAAGGGACCAAACGCGTAACAAAAACAAACAGTACGGACCTTTCAAGTTAAAAAAGTAAATTAGGGATTAAACGTGCAAATTACCCCAAACCATAGGGACCATTCGTGTAATTTACTCTATATTTTATATCATTTTCCTAGATAAATGATGTAATATCATTAAATCTTTTGGTATGGATAACATGAAAGTTTTATGGTGATGAGTTGGAGGAGGAAAACCATCTGAAAACAATTAGGCTGTAGGTAGTGGTTACCACCAATCCATCGAAAAAGTGGTGCCACCTCTGCGTCACGTCAGCTTCACCACCAATCCACTAGACATTAGAAATGATTATCACTCCACAATATTCATTTTTCTTATTTTTTAAGGGTATAATGAGATACAAAAGAATATTTTCAGGGACCATATGTGTAACATCAATTAAAGAGAAAATTGGTGAAAGCGACCTTTACTGCTCCTCCTTATTTCTTATTGGCTGTCTTGATGTGTCTTTGCACTCACGCCACATCCAAGCCACAACCCTTGGGGTGGTGTTCACTAGTCTTTTGCATGCCACATAAGCCTTCCATGCGTGGTTTTCTATCCCACTCTGGATAACCTTATAAAGGCCTCATGGTGATGACCTGGTGCCATGACCAGGACTTCTCTTGCTGTTGACCACAACTTACCGCAATCTATTACATCTCTCTTCTTCTCTCTTCTCTCACTTTTCCTTTTTTATAGATCTTCTTCCCACCGAATCACCCTTGGGAGTATACGACTTTGATGTGGAAGGGCAGATGGTGGTAAGGTGGAGGGAAACTAGGAGCCCTCTCGTGTATAAAGTAAAGTCTTGTCATTATTTAAATTTTAAACTTTCAATACCTTGTTAATTGTTATGTACTACAAAAAATAAAAAATAAAATTGTGGGGTATAATGGTTAAAAATCGCAATCACAAAGGGGTCAACGGTCATTTATGCAACAGTTATTCACCTCTCTCTCTCCTCCTTTCTAAACCACAGCTCCATTTAACTTGAATCAAAGCGAACAAAAAAATTAGGCCAAGAACCAAATTGCATCTCTTGGAAATCATCTTCATACCCACGATCAATTTCTACGCCGTGATGTCTGAACTCAAATGAAGCTCGGTGAATATTAATTAATCCTCTAATGGCGTCTCGCATGACAACATTCACTCGCCTCTTCTCCTCTAATGGCGTCGTATCAACGAATCGCGTAACCACGTTTTTGGGTTTGGGTTCGGGGTACAGCTCGTACTCTTCGGCAGTGGCTTCCCTTGAATCAGAGGCGGATTCTCGGTTGTTCGGTTTGAAAGATTACGAAAATTACAGAAAAACGCTCCATGGTGGAATCACTCATAAAGCACTGTTGGTGGACGCCGTTGGCACCCTCGTTATCCCTTCTCAGCCCATGGCTCAGGTCAGTCTCCGTGTGTATCATCCGAAATTCAAATTCGTAGGATCGATGTGTCGATTTAATTGATAATTTGCTCGATTCTCGTTATTTTTTTTGGGAAACCGTTAATTTGTTCTTCATTTTACGAGGATCCACTGAATTTGGTTGTAATTGTAGATTTATAGGCAGATTGGGGAGAAATACGGAGTGGAATTTAGTGAAGATGAGATTCTGAAGAGATACAGGAGAGCATATGAGCAACCATGGGGCAGATCTCGACTCAGGTAACCTTTTAGCATTTATTGATTTCTGTACATTTACTAAATTTGCATTTTGATGCGAAAAGTTTATTTAATAGTTAAAACCGTCAATGGAAAAATTATTTACCGATCAAATGAGCCCAAAGCTATGAGATAAGATATTCTTGATTCTCGTAAACCATCAAGAATTAATGGCGATGGCTCTTGATTTAATGAAGCAACAAGATTCAACCGAGTAAAATATAGAATGAAATCAGTGTAAAGAAATTAAACAACCCAATTTGTGTTAAGCATTTAATGCTCAAGATGGAAGTGATAGACTTACTTTGCTTCACAAACACACAGATACGTAGATGATGGAAGACCTTTCTGGCAACATATAGTTAGTTCATCAACAGGCTGTTCTAACTCTCAATACTTCGAGGAGCTTTATAATTATTACACCACTGAAAAGGTACATTTCATTTTATCATATACACATACACTGCAATTATACATCTAACAATGATTTGTTTCTCATCAAAAGGCATGGCATCTCTGTGATCCAAATGCTGAGAAGGTGTTCAAAGCTCTGAAAAAAGCCGGTGTAAAATTGGCAATTGTTTCAAACTTTGACACACGTTTAAGACCTCTTCTACGTGCCCTAAAATGTGATCACTGGTTCGATGCCTTGGCTGTTTCAGCTGAAGTAAGTGATATATTTAATTAACTTCTGTTGGTGGTGGGCCCCATTGACATCAGTCGGTACAATCAGTCTGTGTCCAAGTCCCAATGCAAGGCAAAACACAGTACAATCTGTTCTGTCTGTTCCAGTCCAGTCCTCCATAACAAACGGGGTCTTAATGAATTGAGATATTAATAATGGTTTTTGTTCTATAGGTTGCAGCAGAGAAACCAAATCCTATGATATTTCTAAAAGCATGTGAGTTATTAGGGGTAGAACCGGAAGATGCTGTCCACGTAGGCGATGACCGTAGAAACGATATATGGGGTGCCCGAGATGCGGGCTGTGATGCTTGGCTTTGGGGAAGCGATGTCCATTCCTTTAAGGAGGTATGTAACAAAATGTCAATTTTATCCTTGTACTTGTATATAAAATCAAACGTTATAATACTTATGTATGGAATGGTTTATTTGCTAATCTAGATTGCTGAAAGGATAGGTGTTGAAGTCTAAATGAAACCGAAGCTTTTTGGTTTTGAAGAAATAACGTGGCTGTTGTAAAATAGGGTTTTTGGTATCGAAATATAATGATGTATCATATTGTTCTATGGGTATGGTATAATTAGTCTATTGTGTTATACCATATTTTTAAGTCTGTAAGAACATGATGCAACTGTTGTATTCGATCCTTTTATTTTAATATATATTTTCTGTAGTTTTTGATATGAGCATGAGGGAAGTACTACTTGGCATTGTGTATGAAACTAATGAGATTTATAATAAATACTATTTTCTATAATTTGGTAAAGCAAATGAAACATTGACTAAATTACATAAATCGTCCATGTAGGTTGGGGTAAATTGCACTACTTGGCGTGACCCTTTTGACCTGTGTTAATTTGGTCTTGGAGCTGACTTGCATTAGATCACAATTTGATCCCCTTTGGTATTATAAATTCCAATCACACCAAAATGATGACACTAAATTAAGTTGACAACAATCATGGTGTGCCATGGTTGGTGTCAATGTCAATAGACACACCATATTGTACAACATGTGCAAGTGTAGTAGCGTCTTGGCTCAAAGAACGTGGCAAATTATTCCTTGCAAAGTCATTTATTTCTACACCAAAATTTCACATGTACATAATTGTTTCCGAAGAAAAATACCGAATTGTTCAATGAAATGTATTGTACAACACACAAGTATACTTACATGGCAACACATTGTACACTATAGAAACTAAAGAAGCTACTTCTACATGGTACTCCTGCCTGCCTTGGGTAAGTAGGTAATATGATTTAGAGAAATAGACAAGACGTATATCTGTACAAAGATTCTTAATTTTTCCTTTCTATTGATCATCTTCCTTGAAAATCGTGAGTATAAAATCATGAAAACGTTTAGCATATTGTCGGGGATCAACAGCTGATATTGAGGTAGGGTCGTAATGCATGGACTTGTAAGCATGCTCGAGTTTCTTGGTAATGTCGTAGTCTTGAAGTATGTCTATGATTCCGAAAAACATTACAACATCATAACACTCCCCTGTTGGTTCCCCTATCAGTTCTGTTTCTATCGTCCTCTCCATCTTTTCAATTCGTGCTTGCATGCCAATTCCCAATTGGTGTCTGCAATCATATATACACAAAAGCAAACTCAATGTGCAACCTAAATCTATTACTTTAAATTAACGTCATTTAAACAAAACCAATTGTTTTACCCAGATGGGTCTGAAAGAAGTTTGTCCATATCAGCCACAGAATACGAGTCCTCTACTGCGCCATCACCTGCAAATTAAACATGTTGAAAGATGTATGATAATTAAACAAACATGATATGGAGCTCCTAACCCGAATTCTATTCAAGTGAAAAGGAGAAGAGTGATTAATTACCAACAGGTGTTAAGTGCGATGGTTCTCTGAAGTGAAGACCAACCAAGAGACTATAATCCATTATTCTCTCCTGCTCCAGGAAATCACTGTCCTTCTCTATTTGCCTTTACATACATTTAGTCATGATATCCATGAACAAATTCTAAAAACTTTTTAAAATTTTAACAATGGCGCATTAATTTTGTTTTGTATTTTGTACCTTCTGAATTCTTCATTCCATGTTTTTGGTAATCGGAAAAAGTACTTGAGATCAAGATCTTTAAGTATAGTGGTTGCCTCTATTTCTGACTCTGGCTTATCCGTAAGTCGACCAAGGGAAGACCCTTTTAAGTCGAAGCGTCTATGAATGGTGTGATTCGTGCAGAAAAGATTTCCCATAATAATGAAACGTACCTACGTTATTTAAATTATTATTAATAATATATTTTAACACCTAATATATAGCATCCCAAGATAGAAGTCTTTGACTCATTGGTGTTGGATCATACCTTCCTTTGAGCAGCACCAGTTAACCTCACGCAATGCAGTCCAAAGAATTTTGTCAATAAAGTGTTTTCGTATTGTCGGAAATGATTGAAGTAAGCAGAAAGCATCCTTAGAATCACCTAATTAATGATCCACATTTGTTAATTAATCCAAAAATGGAAGTGAAAGTTGGTCAACATTGTTCATGTTATTGGAACTACGAATCTCACTTTGACTTCAGCTTTTTTGATGGTCTTGATCATGTACCGATCATCATAACTCAGGTAGAAGAAGCTTCCACTCTTCCCTGGTGAGGAGAGCTCTCGAAGGGAATCATTCCCACACATAGATAGCATATATTCAGCTGCATCTACCTTAAACAACATCCTTAATGTCCTATACGAGTACATAACATCGAAATGATATGTTTATGTCTGGATATATATATATATATATACAAAAGGAAAAACTAAGTAAAAAGAAGTAAACTTATTTATTGTGTTACCTGAAGACCAATGGGCAGTAATCCTTCCATTTGAATTCACAAGATTGGTGTGGAGGGGTGTATTTGGATCCCTCTGGTGGGAATCTCGTCCATACTTTCTCCTTTGGATTGAAAGCCGATGGCTTTAAATCTAATGAGGGAGTGGGACCCGGTCTTCCTACGGAATGCCTACATGCAACATCATTTCATCAGATTAATCCAAACCATGAAAGGCTGATCATGAAAAGAGGAAATAATAAAGCACAAGACTTCAAAATATAACCTGATTCCTAGTTGCAAATTGAGCATGAGTTCATAGTTCTTATGTCCTTTGGATATGATATCTCCTTGTTTCTTTACGACTTTGGGGATTTGTATTGGACTTGCTTCTACTGACGAATTACTAGGTGATGGTGATGAAAATGACGTATCATCTCTTGCCTTTAAATTTGCTTCTTCAACAGTACTACTCACATCGAAGCTGCTTCCGTCAATGGACATTCGTCTGGACCTAGGTGCAGTGTCACTAGTACTAGCAGTGCTACTGCTGCCCTTTGTCGATCTCCAAACTGCTAGTTTCTTGTGAGATGGCAAGATCGGGACCTTATCAAGAGGACATATTTCACATTCCTTAAGATCAACTTCATAAACTTGTTCTTGAGACCAGTCTTTATGTTCATCTTTAGAATTATCATCAGATGGATGATAATCACCGTTTTGGTCTGCGGCATCCTTACTCCAATTACCTTCATAAAAACTCCCATCAGCCCACTTGAATCTCCCATGCCCACTCGGTATACCATCATCCCATAACCCCTCAAACGTATTCCCGTTACTCCAAACCAGTTTTCCCATTCCAGACATCATTCCATTCTTCCATTCTCCATCGTAGCAATTCCCATCTTTCCATTGATACTTACCATTTCCTTCTTGTAACCCTCCACACCATTCCCCATCATATATATCCCCATTAGTGTATTCCTTCACCCCATGTCCATGTTTCAAGTTCATAACCCATGACCCTTTATAAGTATCTCCATTTGGCCCTGTATAGATCCCTTCTCCATCCATATACCCGCTTTTAAATTCGCCTTGATAGTTGGCTCCTGAAGGCCAACTGAAGGTGCCTTTTCCCATGGTTTTTCCACGATACCAGTCTCCCACATACATGCATCCATCGGTCCACCAGTATTTGCCAAAACCATGAGGAAAGTTATCCAACCAGTGACCTGTGTAGTAATCTCCGTTTGGGAGATAACGTTCAGCATGAAACACCTCTCCTGATGCATGAATCTCATCTTCTTCATCCATGTTTGCAACGGGGGATGAACTGAAGATATTGCTAGCTTGTCGTCTTGCAGCGTGTGTTTTCCTCACGGTTGCCTCCCATGCCTTCATGTCGCGCAGATGTAAATGTAAGGATGATCATGAATTTATAAATTTAATTTGTTCCTAGACTTTTTATCGGTTTCAATGTTTATGCATAAAAAAATTAAACATCCCTTCTTGGATTTGAATGTTTCTTTACACAATAATTATCAACGTACTGATCATGACAATGTAGTTGTTTGCACCTGGTTTCTGCCATTGTAATTAACGACATGCAACCTCGGAAATGGCTTCTCCAGTTCTCTCTCTATCTTGATTCGTCCCTTTTTTCGTGTTCTTGATCCTTCTTCTCTTTGTTCCCTCTCTCCGCTCAGATCAATCCCTCCTATGTAAATCAGAGGTCATCAAACCTCAGGGGAAATTCCTGTTTTTTTGTTGAATTTTCGTGTTTAATTTTGTGATCGGAGATTAATGTCTTGCTGTTAGATTAAGGAAAGATCTAAAATAATAAAATAATAAAATGGGGAGTTAATGGTCATATTGGTCTGAAACAACAAAATTTGCATGAGTCAATTAATTTGCACAATGAATTTAAGATACTCACGGTACATGTGGAGGGATGTGCACAAACTGTTGCACTTTTAAATGCATGGACATACCTTCAGAAATACTATCACACCCTTTTATAAATATCACTACACTAACCACACCAAGATTATAAGATTATACTCCGTGGACATCAGCAACAACAAATTAAAAAAAAAAAAAAATTAATACTTAATTATTGAGCAACGATAATAAAAAGTTTAATTATATATATATAATATTGAAAAACATATTTCTACTATAAATGAATAATTTACAAATAGATTCAAACTGAAGAAATATAATCACATCACATAATGAATACAATATACAAACAAAAATAATGAAATAAAAATAAAGTTGTTCAATTATTAAAAATAGTATAAACACCACATAATGAATAATGAAGCTTACATAAAAACATGGAATAAATTAATTATTGGCACGTCTTGAACTCCAATTAGTAAACATAGTATTAGAAAGAAGATCTCGATGGTCAGTCTATCCTTGCAACGTCTCCACGGTAGAAATAATGTTGTAATGTTCGTCTCCAAATTGGGTGTGATTTGTAGGGATTTGTTGATCAAGGGGGTCTTCCGTCATGGTTGTACGTATGAAGTTATGCATCAAACAACATGCAATGATTATGCGTGGCGTAGATTCTATTGGATGGTCTGCATTATCACGTAAAATCACCCATCTAGATTTAATTAATCCAAAACATCGTTCTATTAGAGTTTCTTGCTGATGAATGTCTCGTGTTATATAACTCTTTAGTATTTATAGGAGGTCGAGACCAATCGATAAGATGGTAACGTTGCCCGTGATAAGGTGTCAAAAACCTTTACCATTTGTATAACCCGCATCACAAAGGTAGTATGCTCCTAAAATAGATTCTACATATTTAGTTAGATTGTATTGATAATATTATGTAGCTTTATGTGTTATGTATATCATACCATGCGGTATTTTAAGACCATGTGGTCTACTAATAGCATCTCGCAATACTGGACTATCTGCTGCGGAACCCTCCCATCCCGCTAGTACATGTATGAACTGAAGATCTCTCGAACACACTCCAAGTACATTAGTACAAATCTCACCCTTGCATGTTCGATAAGCTTTTCTCTTTGCTGCAGGGACATTAACTTTGATATATGTTCTATCTAATGCCCCTAGGCAACCCTGTATCTAAAACAAAATATTTAATTAATATTGGAATTAAATAAATTTATAATAACTAATTACTAACCTTAAACCACCTCCACCTCTCATCGGTTTCGTCATCGAGTATTGGCACAAGTTTCTTGTAGAACTCTTTATGTAATCGACATACCGCATCTAAGACTACCTTGAAATATCGACTTATAGTTTCACCCGACCTTTTGAATCTTTCAACTATACTCCTATTTTTTTTCGTTATGTGCAATTACATGTAAGAACATAGCAACTTGCTCGTCAACTAACATGTTTTTGCTATTTTTCAACCCCCTCTTTGTTCAAGCATGTCGCATAGTCTCGTAAATGCATTTCTATTCATTCTTATGTTAACCACGCTTCTTTTTATCACTTTTATAAACCATATCATGAATATATACTATCACGTCTATTAAGGTTTGTAAATGTTCACCGTGTCTGGTGGGGTTTGTATTGATCTTTATAAATAATACAAAGATTACAAGATAAGGAAATAACAAACTTTCCTACTAATATAAGCTATACAATATAATTGCTATACTTATCATGATTATGTCGAATCATGTCTATTACCCCCCGCAAGCAAAGTGGCGGTGGTCCAACACGAAGCTTGGCTCTAAATTCTTCAAACAGCGGACGAGGAAGACTCTCAGTGAAAATGTCAGCAAGCTGGAGATGTGAAGGAGCAAACTTAGTATGAAGTTTCCCAGAAAGTACCAATTCCCTTACAAAATGGTAGTCAATATCAATGTGCTTGGCTCATTTATGTGAAATTGGATTTTGACTGAGGAATAAGGCACTCTTGTTATCACACAAAAGAGTAGGACGCGATGTAGATAAAACATGCAGTTCTCGTAATAAATGAGTGATCCAGATTATTTCAGCCGCAGTATTTGCTAAAGCACGATATTATGATTCACAACTAGACCGTGAAACAGTAGGCTGCTTTTTGGCACTCCAAGAAACGGGATTACCTCCAAGAAACACATAGTAACGATAGGTGGCACGACGGGTCTCAATGCAGCATGCCCAGTCAGCATCAGAGTAACCAAGGATAGAGGGCGTGTGAGCATGAGAAAAGGAGAGACCATATGACAACGTCCCTTTGACATACCGTAGGATGCGTGTAGCAGCCTGAAAATGATCTTGAGTAGGAGCATGAAGAAATTGACTAACCTGATTGACAGCATATGTGAGATCAGGTCGAGTAATAGTCAAGTATTGAAGTGCACCAACAAGAGAACGATAAATGGTAGGATCATGAAAAGGAGCACCAGTAGTGGTAAAATAATCGGATGTCGAAAGAGGAGTGGCAACTGGTTTGGCGTCCAAAAGTTGTGCTCTTGCAAGTATGTCATGGGCATACTTAGCTTGACTTAGAAATAATTCAGTGTCGGAATATGAGACTTCTAGGCCAAGAAAATAATTTAATTTGCCCAAATCCGTAATAGAGAATTCTTTATGAAGATGCGAAATAAAGTCCTTAATAGCAGCTGGGTCATTACCAGTCAAAATGATATCGTCAACATAAACAAGTAAATACAGAATGCAAGAACCACGTTTGAAGATAAACAACGAAGTGTCAGCACGGCTGCAAATGAAACCAATAGTAACCAAAAAAGTGCTTAAGTGTTGAAACCATGCCTGTGGAGCTTGCTTTAAACCATATAAGGCCTTTATTAAACGACAAACATGGGTAGGAAAATGAGTGTCAATGAAACCCGGAGGTTGCTCCATGAAAACTATATCAGTGAGATCACCATGCAGGAAGGCATTTTTGACATCTAATTGATGAAGAGGCCATTTGTGTAAGACTGCAAGTGAAAGAACAATGCGAACTATTGAGGCCTTCACTACTGGACTAAAAGTTGCAGAATAGTCCAAACTAGGTACCTGTATAAACCCTTGGGCAACCAAACGTGCTTTAAATTTGTCAACCGTGCCATCAGCATGAAATTTCGTCCGGAATACCCATTTAGAACCCACAATATTAGAATTCTTTGGCCTAGGAACAAGTTCCCAAGTATCATTTTTCTGAAGAGCAGCCATCTCATTACACATGGTTGAGTAGCAAGCCGGGTCCTTAGAGGAAGATATGAATCCTCTCGGTTCTTTAGTGGTAAATAAAGTATGATGAAGAACTGAAGAGGATAATTGAGATAAATCAGCCCGATATTTTGGTTTAAAAATACCATTTCTATAACGTGTCATCATTGGATGACCAGGTGGTTGTGGAGAAGCAGCCGGTTGCGGTGAATCAACAGGTGGAGGTTGCAACTGATTAACGGGTGCGGACTCACCATGAGCAAGAGTAGGCGGCGTCGGTATAGGATGTGCTGGTATAGCAGTCACATGTGTTGGGCAAAGAGTACATGGCGCTGAGTCGGTTGATGATAACGGTGGAGCAGCAGGTGCTGAGATAGGTGAGGAGGGAATCACGTCATGAATGGAAGGAGATCCATCATTATATGTAGAGAGGAGCAACTGAGCAGAGGGCATTTGTGATGAAATACACAAAATCCAGTGGTAGACTTACATAGCACGATATTCAGCCTCACATGTAGTTATAGCCATAGCACGATATCCAGCCTCTGTGGAAGATCTAGAGACAACATCCTGTTTCTTGATCTTCCATTAAATAAGAGACTCTCCAAGAAATACACAAAATCCAGTGGTACACTTACGATCATGACGATCGCCATCCCAATCAGCATCACTATAGGCACGTAACTCAAGAGAAGACTGTGACATCCCCAAAATCACGGCCAGAAAAGACCGATTTTGTTTATGCTTTATAAAAATCAGAGTACTTCATTTTATAAAAAGGTTGCGGAATTTGTTCCCAGAAAAACACGATAAATACGTTATTAAAATGTTTTCGAAGAAACGTATTTTTATTCATCTTAAAACGTTTGGGATGTCATCGTTAATACAGAAACATAAGCATAAACAGAACTTATAATTATTTACACTAGTGATCTACATCTCTTTAAATCTCTCAGTGTAATGTCACTTCATTTCGTCACCTGTGATATACATAAATTGAGTGGGTCAGGTTGGGAAACCTGGTGAGTACATAGGGTTTTCAACCCACAATAATATAATTATTATGTTTAATCAAACAATCAACCTAATTACCCATCCCCATTATCTTCTTTACTCTTTAAGGATTTAACCTAAGAGTCGTCTATCCTGCATTCGTTTATTCCGAAGTCCCTTACTTCCAGGGTTATAGGACTGACACTAAATCCATAGCTGCCAATGTTCGTTCGTAAAGCACTAATTCCATAGCTACCAACGCTCAACAGGTACTAAATCCATAGCTACCAATTCCTACAGGTACTAAATCCATAGCTACCAGTATCTAACTAATAGGTACTAAGTCCATAGCTACCAATTCCCAACAGGTACTAAATCCATAGCTACCAACGTCTGACAGGTACTAAGTCCATAGCTACCGGTGTTTGTCCCATAGGCACTAAGTCTATAGCTGCCAATGTATACTCACGTCATCTTCTATCTCTCATCATTCATCTACCCATCATCATACCCAACATATTCGTATATATAAAATACGTATACAGTTTAAATCCTTTAAAACATGTATAAAACGTTCATCCAGCATAGACAACAAGTATTCAGATAATATGCACACATAGCACGTAGTTTATATAAAATACTTCATATCTATGTGTAAGATGAAAGGGACTATGCACTCACAACACGTAAATTATATAAAAATACTTCATATCTATGTGTAAGATGAAAGGGACCATGCACTCACTGATAGGTGGTGACTCAACACTCGGACAGCGCTTCGATACTCTCAAACACAATTTCCTTCGATAAAACCTAGTATCAACACCACTAGGGTTTAGTCTAACGATAACCGCGACTAATTAATAGTATAGTTATATTATTATTATATAAGCGTTAAATAACACTCAATATAACTCATAATAATAGCCCAAATAATTATTTTAAGGTCCTAATAATGTTACTATAATTAATTAGAAGCTATATTAAAACTAGCGTAGGCGTAGCTCACTTACAGCGGGTTTTTCGCAAAACCGGGCTTCGCTGGAGCAGCGTTTCCCGAGCCGAAAGGCTCTTTTCTCGGAGCCGTCGGGCACTCCGGGGCTTCCGCCTCGTGCTAGGGAGTTACCCTAGGCTTTAGGGGGGTTAGGGAGCTTAGAGAGAGAGTTTAGAGAGAGAAAGAGAAGTTGGAAGGTGTGAGAATGAATGGAACCCGACACCTCTATTTATAGGGGTGCTGACTGGTCTACTCGCCGAGTAGGGGGGACCTACTCGCCGAGTTGGTCCATGTGGTGGCCTTCTGGTGGTGCCACGTGTCCAATTCTGGTGGTGCCACGTCACCCCCTATCGCGTATCAGCCTTCAAACTTAGAAAAATCATAACTTTCGCATACGAGCTCCGTTTTCGACGTTCTTTATATCCACGCGTAGGTAAAATCAAGATCTACAACTTTTGTTTAGACTCCGTTGGCTAATTCTCGACCGATCTCAAATTTAACAGTAGGAGGCGTTTAGACTGTTAAATGACCGCGAAGATTCATAACTCCTTCATACGGACTCCGTTTTCGTCTGTCTTTTTACCGTTGAGTTCCTATTAATGAGACTTCAACTCTCATTTAGGTCGCGTAAGCCAAAAACCGCTCGAACTAAAATTCGAGTTTCGGGTTGTATACTGCTAAGCCGAATCTTAGAAAAATCATAACTTCCTCATACGAAGTCAGATTTGGGCGTTCTTTTTATCGACGTCTTAGTTTAACATATTCTACGAATTTCATTTAGATCACTAAGGCTAAAAAGTCCTCCATCGTAAATTCACTATTTACGCTTCCCGGTGCCGTGCCGGTTCCGTCGCGAAACTTCGACGGGCCATAACTTCTTCGTTATAACTCGGATTTCGGCGTTCTTTATATGTACGGAAACCTTGTGACATATTCTACAACTTGGTTAAGATTATTTATTCTAAATAATCTTTTGTCGAAAAGTCATTTTCGACCCCTATTGCCTCTAAATTGACTAGCCCGGATCTACGGGCGTTACAATTATCTCCCCCTTAGGATGATTACGTCCCGGAATCATCAACGAAACAGGGCTCACATGATGACTCCATTTGTTATCTATTCATCCTAAGTCATAACTTCGATGTTTCTTCGAACGTGTATCTAACTCTTAGACTCCTTGACTACAGGCGGTGCTCGATCTTGCATACGCTCTCTATCTCACGTTAGACTCCAAATTATGACCTTCAAGTCACAATCTCGATCCTCACTGGATACGAACTTAAGATAAGTTCTTTTATTAATACAATGGACCGATGTGTCATATTCTAATGACCTCTCATCGTATGTTGCAATGCTCAGACTCAGGTCTCTTAGAGTCAAATTCCAGAACAGTCTATACCTTCCTTCATGTTCTAGTCACATCTAAAAAGGTAGCATCTCTAGCAACCATCTTCTTTTAACAACGAGCGCGATACTTCTATTGATCGCTTTGATTTCAATCGTTTGGTTTAAGTCGGACGCTACATCAAACTTGGTTCTCTGAACCACGTAACATACTCATCGTAGTCGGACTCAATTCGATATGACCACTAGGGTCGGAATATCAACAATCGTCTTAGTCATTACCGAAACAATGGTAACAACACACTTGAATAAATCGAAATCAATTACTAGTTTCTTGGTAACCTTGTGACTTTCCCTGATCCAAGCGTGAGTCCTGTGCTTCCGGTAGTATATGCATCTACTACCTTTCACACCTACTCATACTCGTCCCAAGTATTGTCTCGCAGTTTTCCCAAGTTATTATCACAAACAATTTTTAACACATAAAAATGTGTCCAAACAATCACAAAATTTTCCCTAGACTCTACTAGGACTTCTTCTATGCGTATCTTCAATCATCAATTTGCTTCAGCTCGGTGGAAATACCATACGATGGGTCAACTTCATGAATTACGCCAATCATTCCATCATCTGCCAATCGAAGGTGTACTTCGGACGTACTGTACTCCTCTAAACGTACTGCATGACATATTCTAAAGGCAAGATACCACTCTTATGATATCTTCGATAGGTGTCATTCACTATCGTAAGCCTTTTCATTTCCTCCACTTACTCAATTCTCTATGAGTCCTTATCATGACATTCTATTCTCCAAAGCAAGCGTTTGGTGTATCGAGACGAGAATATAGATAGAGGAAGAATTAGACGCGTATTCCTCCTTATTACTCCAAAAAGTTACATGCCAGTTCTAATATCGTAATTAAACGTTTAGAAACCTGAGCACATAAAATTTCCAGATCCGGTCGGCAACAGACCATAGATCCGATCATATAATGCATATCATAAATCATTTAGCACATAAAAGCATGTTAGGAATTTTCCCTAAATAAGCTAGTGCTTGTGTCTATTCAGGTGTATTACCTAAATCTATTTGACACACTCCTCACAATCATTACTTAGCATTCTAAGTTTAAGTCTAGAAATAAATCCATATTCCTAGTTCGCTTAAACTAATGCTCTGATACCAACTGTGACATCCCCAAAATCACGGCCAGAAAAGACCGATTTTGTTTATGCTTTATAAAATCAGAGTACTTCATTTTATAAAAAGGTTGCGGAATTTGTTCCCAGAAAAACACGATAAATACGTTATTAAAACATTTTCGAAGAAACGTATTTTTATTCATCTTAAAACGTTTGGGATGTCATCGTTAATACAGAAACATAAGCATAAACAGAACTTACAATTATTTACACTAGTGATCTACATCTCTTTAAATCTCTCAGTGTAATGTCACTTCATTTCGTCACCTGTGATATACATAAACTGAGTGGGTCAGGTTGGGAAACCTGGTGAGTACATAGGGTTTTCAACCCACAATAATATAATTATTATGTTTAATCAAACAATCAACCCAATTACCCATCCCCATTATCTTCTTTACTCTTTAAGGATTTAACCTAAGAGTCATCTATCCTGCATTCGTTTATTCCGAAGTCCCTTACTTCCAGGGTTATAGGACTGGCACTAAATCCATAGCTGCCAATGTTCGTTCGTAAAGCACTAATTCCATAGCTGCTATATCTTACTCATCGGGTACTAAATCCATAGCTACCAGCTCAACAGGTACTAAGTCCATAGCTACCAATTCCTACAGGTACTAAATCCATAGCTACCAGTACTAACTAGTCTAACTAATAGGTACTAAGTCCATAGCTACCAATTCCCAACAGGTACTAAATCCATAGCTACCAACGTCTGACAGGTACTAAGTCCATAGCTACCGGTGTTTGTCCCATAGGCACTAAGTCTATAGCTGCCAATGTATACTCACGTCATCTTCTATCTCTCATCATTCATCTACCCATCATCATACCCAACATATTCGTATATATAAAATACGTATACAGTTTAAATCCTTTAAAACATGTATAAAACGTTCATCCAGCATAGACAACAAGT